AATTAAGGTTTTTTCACTATTATTAAAAATTATTTTGATTTTATTAAACGTGTATTTTGTTGTATGCGTATAAAAGGACTTTTAATAAAATTAACTTAGAATTATGGACGCATTTTTAAGTTGATTGTTTATGTCATCGTACTGAAAAATAATTTAATATGAAAAAAGATTGGATTAAATTATCAAATTAGTGATTTTTACCGCTATGTACATATTTCGAAATTAAAGAAAATTTTCAATTAATTTCTTGATGATTACTTTTACAATATTAGTTTTTAATAATTAATACTTTAAAATATTCTTGTTTATTTCGGAAAAAAAATTATTTTAAAGCGGAGATTTTACATAATTTTGTTCAAAAAATCTAGTGGATTGCCCTTTATTTGTGAACTCATCTGTACAAATATTGAGAGATAAAAAAAAATTCATTCAGTTTTATAATAAATTTTTAATAGTATGCACATACACAATGTACTTAAATATTTATTTAAAAATTACATCGTATTATAAAATCGTTTATATAGTTTTTATAGTAGTTCTTATTTGAGTTTTTTCTTTATTCAACAACTCATTGTAACAAAAACGTACAATATAAACATGTGTATGTGTTCAATTATTAACGCACGTATATGTAGATGTTATGTAAGATTTTTTTTATCCATAATATTTATTTATAAATTGTGGTAATTCTATGGTTTTATAAACTTTTTTTTAATCCGCCCTTTAAAACTCATTATATAGCGATTGTTTTTCAAAAAGTAAAAAGTTAATGTTTGTTTTGTATTTCTATATTTTTATAAAAATGTTCTATAAGGATATTTTCAACAAAATTGAAAACAAAATCTACTTATTAGTTTCAGTCTTTTCATCCATCCGTCGGTAAGAATATTTTTTCACCTCCTTTCTCTTTTAAGTAAATAAAAAATCAAAATGAAATTTCAACATAAAAAACTAGCAATTTCTTAACATCCATCTCGTTATTTTTCGAAACCTCTAAAGATTTCCAAATTCCTACAAAATCTCTTAAAAATATAGGTAAGAACGTATAATTAGTTACCTTAACTTATCTAATTAACTGTAAGAAATTCGATCATTATGTTAACACTTGTACTTTAGAAAGTTTTTTTTAGAAAAGTATCACTTTTGTTTAAGGAAAATGTGCTTTTTAACAAACCATTTGTTTGATCTGAATTTTTTTATATTCAATACGCTAAAAGGCAAGTTTTCTTTAAATTGGTATAAATTAAAAAATTTAACTAAAGTTAACAAAAGTGAATTAAATATGATTTTAGTAAGATGTATAGACACCTTTTCTTTAAAAATTATAAATATTAAAAAAAAAGTACTTATAGTAACTTTTAAAATATAATTTGAAACTCCATTATGACACAAAAAGTCGGAAAAACAGAAATATTTTTATTTTGTGTTCTTATTTCTGTCAGAATTTTGTTATAATGAACTTTCGGATAGATGTTTACAGCAATAAATATTTATTACACAATATTAAAGGGAAATTAATATTAAATTGTTTTTTTTTTTCATTTATTTCGAACAGTTCTTGAAAATTTTATGTATAATGTTATTAACTATATTATACTTAATTTTACGATAATAGTAAAAATTTCTATTATCGATTTTTGATTCTTCCAGATTTGCCAAATTTTGCGGAAAATTTTAGGAAATAGGATGACATATATCACTTTTAATGTTTAGATCAAAACACAAACGATCTCATTTATTGTTTGAATAAGTATCCTTATAGGATACCTAGGAAGCTTACCTTATTATAGGAAGCTTACCTTATGATTTGTTAATTTTTTCCAATGCAGAACAATGCAGAAATTGGGAGTTGCTTGGGGTAAATAAAGTTAAATATTTTATGGAACTTTGTAAATTGTAATTTTTTTTTATTTGTTGAGATTCGACGTGGCAAATACTGTAAATTTTTGAAATAATTTCCTGGTATAATAACTATGTGTTCCAAAATTTTTGGTATTACTTGGTTTATAGACTGTTGTGAAATATATTGCGCATTATTAGAAACAATTTTAACTTTAAATAATCAATAGTAAGTTTCAAGCAGTTTTCAATATTTCCTACAAAAAATTGAGGTGTATTTAATATCTGTGATCGCAATATGATTTGGTTTCTTCACAATCGGCCAAGTTTGACGTTTTAACTAAGCTTTATAGTTTTTAACGGTACACAACAGGTATTCGTCAATCCCAGGTACAGTATTTTAACTTTGGATATGTACAAAGTAAGAGAGTTATTTAAAACAGCACAATTGCAGATTATATTTTACAATCTTATGTAATGAATTTTGTTTCTTTGCAATGTTTGGAATTGTCCAAAATTTCTTTTTTTTCTGTTTTGCTTTTGTAAATTACAAATATTAAAATTCTGTTAGGATATAAAGGAAAGGAATATTTCATGCACTTCCATCTTTTTTTTTTTGAAAAGAAAACTAATGAAAATTTAATCAAGCTAAAAAATTTTGTAGGTGCATAATTAGAGGTTTTTTTTCACCAGACCTTGTTATTAACAAAAAAAATATGCAGTTTCTTTTTTAAAAGGTTTTTTTGTTTCCGTTGTAATGTTAAGTGAATGCAAACACATACTTATATAATAATTTTTGAGTTACTCAGAAATTGGAGGATTCTTCTAGGCGTGTTAAAAATAGTATATCTTGTAATTAAAAATTGTGGCAGGGTTCTAAATTTTTTTTTATATAAAATATGCGTTTTATACAATTCGTTTTGTATAAAAACACGTTTAGGTAAAAAGAAAGGAAATCTTTTAAGGCGTTCAGAACATTTTGTATACCTGTTATGTGTCAAATTAGTGGGTAAAATTTTAAGGAAAAAGATATTGTAATATGGAAAACTAAATTATAATTTGAAAATAAATGATTCCCTTGAAACTTGATATTTTTTAATAACAAGTTTCTTATCTTTATAGTCAAAAAAACTGACAAAAAATTGCATGCCCATGTAAATATAAAAAGTATTTTATCGTAATTAAAATTACATTAGTATTGTAAAAATATTGTAATTTGTAAAATATATTAAAAAATTTTGACATTCCTTTTTGATTAAAATTACTATTAATTTGAGCCTTTCATTTTAAACATTCTTGTATCTGTACATTTTCAATCACCAAATATTCAGTAAAAATGATTGCGATCGCTCCAAACTTCACATGTTTTTCAAAGGAAATGCTTTTACGTAAACTGATTATTTTTTGGATGATGTTAGTTTGTCTGTTTATGCGCTCTTGTATCTCAATGTTCACAGAATCTATTCTCACGAAAATTCATAATTCGTCCGTGAATCTCAGAATCGGGAAGATTACATTCAGAGTTTGTATTCTGTGTTTTTTATGGTAATGTATAAAACTTTCTAAGTTATTTTTAAAAAGATATTGAAATTATCATTCACTTACGTAGGTTTGCAAAACTATATTGATGCTCACAGAAATCCAAAATTTAATTAATAATGGCTGTATGATATATGCAGGTTTAAAAATTGAGAACAAAAATGATTGTAAAGCTTTCAATTAAAATTTTAATGCCAGTTGGGTTGACTCTATTTACAATAGTTTTGTTTTTTTTTTTTTACTTTCATTGAAACGTAAACATAACGGCATCTGGTTCAAATACTTTTGATATTGATTTTTGCTATTAGGTTTATGATAAATCCATTAGCAAGTTAAAAAGTTAAAGCGCGGAGTTTTTTTTGTTTCAAAGAAAAACGAGAAAAAATTGAGTTGATCGTGTCAACTCTGTGATACCCGTACGAATTTGTTATCCTAAATAAGCCATGAGACAAACTATGACTTTAAGTTGTCGTATAACCATATTAAACAATGCAAAATTTCAGTACTGTATTTTCAATATTTTCTAAGATATGGTCAAACTATTGAAGTTCTATGGCTGCTACCAGAAAGAGCCAAGCAATTTCAACGACTTTAATCAAACGCATTGGCCCTACTAATATATTCTTTTGTGTGAAATTTCCATATCACAGCTTTTATAGTTTCTGAGATACATATAGCCAAATAACTTTTGGCTATATGTATCAATTTCAATAACACAGCTGTTATAGTTTTTTTAGATGTGGCCAAGTAACTTTTGAAGTTGTATGGCAGCTTCCAGAAGGAGCCAAGCAATTTCAATGACTTTTATCAAACACAGCCCTACTAATATACTTACTTGTGCCAAATTTCAACACCATACCTTTTATAGTTTCTAAGATATAGTCAAATAAATTTTGAAATTGTATGGATGCTACCCGAACTAGTACTTCGGTCATATCTAATTTGAATAGGGTTCTGGCATTTACTATAATGAATAATTTGTGAAAATTTGGTGAACTTAGCTCAATTAGTTTTTCAGTTATCGTTGGAACGGACGGACAGACGGACAGACAAAGCTAAATCAACTCAGAATTCGACGCTGATCAAAAACATACACTTGAGTCTACTTCTGGGAGCATTATTTGTTAGCGTTACAAACGCTACGGCAAATTTAGTATATCTTTCGAACATACGTTCGTACGCGTATAAAAACACTCAAACAGTAGTCTATTGTTAATCATAAATCGATATTTTACATAATTTTTTCCGAGCAACTGAAACGTTGACCAAAGGTAGACGAGTTGTTAAAAGTGATGAAAGGGAATTGAACATTTTTGACTCCACGGACAATATGAAGCGAGTGGATCTAAGGTAAAATACTCTTAAGTTTTATATAAATTTTTTTCTAGTTAACTTTTACAAAAATTAAAATTTTTTTTACAAAATGAAATTCGGCATATAAAAATTTTTTTGACACATGCAAGCATATATTTTTTCTGAATAGGTCGATTATGTATCAGAAACTTCCTATTTAATTGGTAACGAGTTTTAGGACTTAAATGTTATTAACACTTTTTCGAATTCATTTTTTCAATATTGAAAAATAATTTTGTAATAAATTTTATTTTTTTTTTTATTTTCAGCTTTTCATCTGTATTCTAATAGTACGGTACGCGAAGAAGATGAAATATTGGCCGTAAAATATGAAGATGGTAGATGGTCAAAACCATATTATGATTGTGGTGGTGGTAACATTTGGATGTTAACGTATACTGTACCTTTTTTTGGCTACGATCACGAAAATATAACATACTTTTTCAAGTACGTATAGCTTTATATGCATAGTGTTTTTTAGCCTTTATTATTTTGGATTTAAATAAAGAATTGTGTTTTGAAGATTTTACATTTTTCAACAAGCTGAAATAACAGTAGGAAATGTGTTTTTTATAACCGTGTAAAAGGATTTAATATTTTTAATTTTTGTTCTGCTCATGTTAATGCTTGAATACTTTGTTTCTTTTTTATTTGGTCTTGTCAGATTAAAAATCCAATTTAGTATTGTATGTGCTAAAAGACAACAATACGTCAAATTTATAAGACTTTTTAATTTGATTTATTATTTTAGACGGTTCACAACAAGCTTGAAACAAAAAAAGTGTAGGGTAACTATGCTAAATATTTTTTATTTTGTTTTAAAAATTTTGAAGCGGAAACGATTTTAATAATACTTGGATGAAAAATGAGAATGTAAAAAAATATTTCTGCATAAATTATGGTATTATATCGGAATTCAGGAGTTAGAAATTTTGAATGTTACCTGATTTGCTATTTTTAGTATTCAACTAACAAATTACACTTGGTAAAACTTTCAATCTCTTTGTTAGCCTAATACAAAGTTGAGCATGTAACCGTAAGCTATATACAAATTATAACTGTAAATACGAAATGCCAAAATGTGAAATATTAGGGATGTGATATATTAGGGAAAAAGTAGAGATTCATTTTAGAAAAAGCTTTGAATTTCGAAACTAGAAAATACTGTCCATTACTGCTAGTCATTGTCAGTTTTTCTTGACCCAAAATGTGCCATAAGCAATAATTGCTATTTTCTTATAAGTACAAAATACGATTTTTCCAAAAGCCGCCTTTCATATAGCTTGATAACGTCTTTGTTTCTAGAAAAACTAATTAATTATTTGCATGCAATATATGCATATGTACATATATGTAGATATGCATATTTATATCAAGAAGGTATATGAGCGCAAACTTAAATTTAGAAACCGTCTCTTTTATTTAAATTAACATTTTCTTGCAACAAATTGTTTAAATTTTATTAAGTGTTAACATAAATTAGTATATACATACATACCTATGTATATGGTAAAGACCATAACTTACACATTTTGCTATCAAATCTGAAGGTCTAGACATAACCACAATATAATTTGTTGATCAATATTTCAAATCTCAACGTTATACTTAAATTTATTTATGGTTGCTATACTCATGGATATTAAATATGAAAATTTTAATTAATAGTTAAATAGAAAATTCTTCTACACAAAAATCCATTTCTTTTCAAATATTTAAATTTTAATCTTGTTTAAAAAAAATATTAATAATTTTTGGTTTGAGAAATTTAAGAATTTGCCTCATGATTATAATTTTCTTAAAAAATTTAATTTTGTAATTTTAAATTTAGTGTTGTCATGACAATGAATTATGTTTAAGAAGACTCCTATGGGCATTTTGATTCTGTGACTAAGTCGAATTATTCCTCATATACTTGTATAAATAATAGTACGTGCTGGCTTTTTAAAGCAATCTATGTAGGTATTACGTGATTGAAATTACTTTTACCCATATACATACATATGTAACAAAATATTGCAAGAGGTTGCATGTATTTCAGATGAGACAAGAGAAAACTAAAAGAGGCGTTAACATAATAGTAAATTGAAAGGTTAATTGCGTGAATTAAGATAAAAAGTTACATATTATTATGATACAGCATTTAATTTTAGCTTTCTGTATATTTATAGAAACTTAGAAAAGCTTGCAGTTTCGATAATATAAGGTGTCGAAAACTTAATTTTTACAAATTTTGAGAGGCGATGAGTTGAAAGGGGACGGTAGTAACAAAAAAAATTCTTCTAACGAAATAAGCTATTTGTTAGAATCTAACAGCTGGTAAAATTTCAGACTCCTACAAGTTGTCCTTTAGAAGAAAAACAATATTAAAAATTTCTAAAAAACGTATTATAGATAACGGTTAATTTTAACCACCATTTGTTTTTTTTAAAGTTCAACTTTGGTAGCGCTGATACTACTTTTCGGTCTACACAGAATTTAAAAAATGTTTGTGGTTTCGCTATACAATAAATATTTACAGAAATGGTATTTTTAGGACTTTGAAGCGCTACAATTGTTAGGGGTAAAAATTTCGTTCTACCGAAATAAGTTTTTGGTACAGATGTATTTACATATAAAATTTCAACTTTCTATTTCAAAAGATGTAAAACTTTATAAATTGACACACAGACAAACTGGCGAACGGATCGACAGCGTGAAACTAATAAGCACATATTTCAAAATTTTTGTGGAAAAGTGCTAAAAATCCTGATGTTACTATAAGTCTTTTTAACATCAATTTGGAATTTTCTTGATCTTTCTTTAAATCAATAATGAAACACGTCCAAATATAAAATTCTGCAATGCAAAATTTTTGTGTTAGTATTTAACCGATCAACTCTATCATTATACCTTCTGCACAAGAACTCAAAAACGAATAATGTAATCGAAACCAAACTTTTCCGAGTTTTTTCTTTTCTGCCAAGCACGGTTGCTATTGTAATTGGTCCAATTCGGACAACGGGTTTAGGTAGCTACCATACTACTCTAAGAAGTTTTTTTAAATATTTTGAAAACCTATATAGAGATATTAATATAATTTTACAAATTAGTTACAATTACATTTTACATATAACTTTAATGGAATGGCTGCACTCATGAAACTTGGCAGTTGTTTGTCCAATTATAAGGCAGGTTCGAATAATTGGTATATAACAATGACAGCTAGTTTTAAATTCTTTTTCAAAAACAAATTTTTAAACTCAGATTGTCAAGGTATAATTCGGTCGGTTTATACCGACTGAAACGTTTTTACTTGTTTTTTTTTTTAAATTTGTATAATTAATCAACTCATATACATGTGTATGTATTTCAACCTTTTTCGACTAACACATTAAAATTAATCAGATTTATGATTTTAAAAGTTCAATGTTAGAAACGTACACGTGTATTTACGTAAATTTGTTAAAAATAATTTAAAACGAGAAAAAAAATAGAGTTGACCTTGTCAACTCTGTGATACCCGTACGAATTTGTTATCCTATGTGCGAATAGCTAATGTGCTATAACTAACCATGGGGCAGACTATGACTTTAAGTTGCAGGATTACCATATTAATTTATGCAAAATTTCAGTACTATGTGGTTTTTAAAATATCTACTGTATGTGCCAAACTACTATTGAAGTTGTATGGCAGCTACCAGAAAGAGGCAAGAAATTTTAGCGAATTTTATCAAGCACATCGGCCCTACTAATATATTCACTTGTGAAATCTCAATATCACAGTTTTTATAGTTTCTGAGATATAGCCAAATAACTTTTGAAGTTGTATGGCAGGTACCAGAAGGAGCCAAGTAATTTCAACGACTTTTATGAGCCCTACTAATATATTCGTTTGTGTGAAATTTCAATACCATAGTTTTAATAGTTTCTGAAATATAGTCAAATAACTTTTGAAGTTGTATGGCAGCTACCCGAACCGGTGCCCCGATCATGTCCAATTTAAATAAGGTTCTGGCACTTACTATAATAAATTATTTGTGAATATTTGGTGAACTTAGCTTAATTAGTTTTTGAGTTATCGTTCGGACGAACGGACGGACGGACGGACGGACAGACAAAGCTAAATCAACTCAGAATTTGACGCTGATCAAAAACATACACTTGAGTCTATATCTAACACCGTTATTTCTTAGCGTTACAAACGGTAAGGCAAATTTAGTATACCCTTCGAACATACGTTCGTACGGTTAGAAATATGACCGTAAAATATAAAAACAAACTTTATTGCACAGTTTAATCACCTTTAAATAAAAATAATCCTTAAAAAGAAAAACTCGTCTATCAAGAATCACATTATGTGAATTTTCTTTAAAAAGGGTATTTGAATTTCTTGCTTGTGTGGACAATATTATTGTGCCACCAAAAAATTTATTAAGAATTTAAAAAGTGTTTTTTTGCATACTTATTTGCTGGTTATTGAAGAACAAATAGTTTTTGAAAATCAGAAATGACTAGTGTATATGAGCACCGTAGTAAAAATAAAAATATAATATGATAATCTTGCTCCGTATAAAAATTCGATATAAATTATGTTAGTTAAATTAAATTTTTTGTGCTAAAAGCCTGCCTACGTCTTTCAAAGTGAAGCATAAAAATATGAATCTTACAACAGAACATTATCATTTATTTCAGAAATTTCATTTAAAATTGGTTTTCATGCTCTTGTTAAGCATCATATGACATGTAAAATATTTTCAAATAAAATTCTTGTCAACTAAATTTTCCTTAAAGTATTAAAGAGTAATGTTTTGTTCAAATACGAGTATTAATCCCCTAAGTATTTTTTATTTTTTTTTTAATATTTATTAATTTTAGAAAATTCTATTATGTATATATCAGGATCTTTTGAATGAAAATGATACCATCTGCTTTTTCTACTTGTTTTTAATTTTAATACAAAAAAATTTTAATAAAATAAAAGTTATTTTGATCTCTTATGAACGATAGTTTTTCAAATACATATACATACATCGTGTTTTTTTCTTAAATTTTGTAAAAGCAAAAAGGATATTTTGAAGATACCGTAATATTGTATAGGAATCGTTGAAGTGAATTTGTAGAAGAAAATTGTTAAATTTTTGACAAAAACTTTTTAAATCTCTTTCCGAAAAAACATTTTTGCCCTTACTTGTTTTATTTTTACAGCTCCTCTCTTTGTCGTCAAATAGAATTTGATAAACTTGATTGGAAAGAGCATAAAATATGAGCTATAAAATTTATTTTATGTAGAAGTAAATTCAATTATTCTACGATCTATTAAAATAATTGAATTTTCTTTCGTATTCTATTTTATTAATATATATTCGATTAGTTATAGACAAATTAAGTACGTAAAATCAAGTATGTACTTTAAACACTAAATTGAAAAAAGTGCCCCTCAAGCTATTGCCTTCTGAAATTCATTA